TGTGGGTGAGGAGGCCTACGTTCAGGTTCACACAACGAGCAAGACTTCATGTGCTCTGACCCCACGACCACGCTTGTAACGATTCACTTCACTGCCTCCCCCAGGCCCCTGAGCATTCAACTCACTTGCTGCGGTCCCTGCAAGTCCCCAGTTAAGAATCAGCAGAGGCAACGTCTGAGCTGTGTGAGCCCAGGTCCGGGAGAACTTACAGGGCCCTTCCCTACCCCTTTGCCCGCCGTCCGAGGGAGGCAGCCTGGGCAGTGAAGGGTCTTACATCTGCAGTGCCCCCTGCATGCCCCACTGCACACACTTCCTGCTCACTGTTGCGGTCGGGGGCCAGGTGGGGACGGGGGGAACTGTGGGTCCCCAGATCCCCCAAGGCAATACCCAGCTCTCCAGGTGCAGGAGGAGCTGACAGGGCAGGGGAGTGGTCCTGTAAAGGGGTCCTGGAGAGCAGTGCTCACGCCTGTGCCTTCCTTGAGCGAGGGCCCCCCCGAGCTCCTGACCAGCACAGTGAGGACCAGACAGCTCTTCCTCAGCTCAGCCCTCCCAGCCTGGGACGCTGGGCAAGCCACTTACATTTCCTTGTGCCTCAGGCTCCGTCTATAAAATGCGGACAGCACAACACCTGAACACACCTACTTCTAGGTTTTGTTGTGAAGGAGAGATGGACAGCTAAAGTGCAGAAACCCAGTGCTGTGGAAATACGAGATGCTCCCAGGAGCGTGTACATGGAGTGCAGGTTGGATGGGGGCAGGCAGAGAGGAGGAGGGCTTGCCCACCAGCAGGTACCTGTGCCCCGGGCAGCGGCCCTCCCTGAGGAATTGGCTCCGTCCTCAGAGCCCCAAGGACCAAGGTCTTCAGAGAAGGGAAGGCTGCAAAGAAGCACCAGCCTCAGTGCACAGACACACATGAGCGGCCCAGGGCTCGTGTGGCCCGGGGGCCAGTGGTGAACCCCACAGGTCAGCTTAGGAAGGGGCCCCTCCCGAGCCCACAGGGCCAGGCTGGGCTCATGAGTGTGGGCAGGGCCAGGCCTGCTGCAGTCACTGGGCTGGGCTGGGGCCGGGAGACGTGTGAGGGGTGAAGGGGACTCACCTGTCCCTGAGGGGCACATACTCCATGGGCATGTGAGGCTCCCCAAGGCCCCTCCACTGAGGCCTCCAGGTCTGCACGGGGCAGGCCTGGGCCAGCGAGGGTCTTAGCACGAGGCCCAGGCCTGTCAGCAGCACAGTTGCCAAGCCAGCAGCCAGCAGTACCCCTGAAAGGTGGGGCAGAGGGGCGGGGTCCTGTGACGACCTCCCGGAACCTCCCTAGGCTACAGTTTTGCATGGGCCTCAGTGGCTCTGGTTTCTCTTCCTGCTGCCTCTGGGCCTTAACTCCTCACAGCTCCTTGGGAAGCAGTCCTCATTCCTGCCCGGGGCTTAACCATGTCTGGGGCCGACTAGGGGTTCTCCTCCACCCTTGCTGTCTCTGTGGAATCTGCTCCAGTCTAGGGCCCAAGGATGAGGGGGGCCCTCCTGGGACGCTGCTGCCCTGCCCGCCTGGCCCCAGAGCCAGGTCCCGGCTCGGTGTGGCTGGCTGGCCGCTTCGTGCCCAGGCAGGTTTGGGCCTCAGCCACGATGGGCAGTATTCTCTGTCCACCTGGCAGGCTCAGCCTGGAGAGCGGCTCATGAGGACGAGGAGGATAAAAGACAGGAAAACCCACAGAGGAGGTTAGAACAGGCATCTCTGGGACCCTATGACTTCACCCAGGGCTCTGCTCACCGTGGAGGGACCCCATTCACTGGGACAGGCCCCAGAGCTAAGGAACACAGGGCGAGCAGGGAGGGTGAGGAAGGTGACCCCTGGGGAGAAAATTCAGTTTCTTTGCCTGGCAAATGAAGCCCCAGTTCAAGACAAGCTTGTTCTTGTCCCCATCTGTAGTCTGGGGCTATGCCCAGAGTCTCAGGCTGGACACATAGCTGGGGTCCCTGCTGTGTTACCCTCTTCCCACACCCCCTCCACATCCCGGCCCCTCTGGTCTGTGGTCAGTACCTGAGATCACTGCCCAGTCTGGGCCCAGGTTTGGTAGCTGGTGCCTGAGGACACCGTGCCTGGCGAGGTGATGCGGGGAGGAGGGCTGCACTGGGGACAGGCCAGGGTCGCAGGCCACCCCCTTCTCCTTCACCAGCACCACCGTGATGCTCTCGGGCAGCCCGTTGTCCCGAAACACATATGTGCCAGGATCTAGAAACTGATGAGCAAACCTGCGGGGGTGCAGGGCAGGAACATAGGGAGAGTCTGGGTGGCCGCGAGCCACAGCCGGGCCTCTCCCCACTCACAGGAGCAGCTGCCTGTGATCCCACCCCTCCCACGTGGTCTGCAGCCCGCACCCCTGGGTCCTCCCATCACCCACCCTGACCCCAGGCTGCAGTCACCTGGAGAAGTTGAGGTGAGTCTTGTGCACCAGGTGGGCGAGTCTCCTGAAGGCCCCGAAGTCCCAGTGGGGGTTGCTGTTGAACAGATGCTGCCTCTGGTACATGGGGTAGTGACTGAATGAGCGATCTGGGGGATGAAACGGGTTGGCCTGGGTTCCAGAGGCTTCCTGACCCCACCCTGGGCAACCCACAGCCCGTCTCAGGAGACATGTTTCCAGTGAAATGACGCTTCATCCTTTCATGCATGTAATCCCGGTGCCAGGGCCAGACCTGTTGACCTGCAGAGAAAGCTGACGTCCCTTTGGGGTGCACATGACAGCGCCCTGGCACTCTCAGAGGTGGGGGCCTGTTCAGCTCTGCTCCCCGATAGCACAGGGCCGGCACGCAGCGGGCACTCAGCACATGCCATGGGGGTAGGGGGCCCGCTGGCAGGACACACGGGCGGGCCTGGCCTGGCCAGTCCCTCCGATGAGGCCTTTCCCATGCACATGCGTCAGCTCTTCTTACTGAGATCGGTCCCCTGCCACCCCCAACATGGGGCTCTGAGCTCACATCCCCGCAGTGTGGGAAGGAGACACACGGGGGCATGTCAGCGATGCAAACGCCAAGGCTCAGAGCAGGGGAGGCTGCGACAGGCCCGGCGTGTTCATGCGAGAGCTGGGCCTGGGAACCAGGGCACACACGTTCGTGCTGGGCTTGGTTTCCCGTGACTCCTGTCCCTCTTGGTTTGGCACTACCTCGTGGGGAGGACCCTGGGTAGTCACGTGACGTGAAACCAAACACAGCCTGCTTCTACCTGGGTCAAGTGCCCGTTCTGTCCCAATGTGACTAAAAGCCTGGACTGTGCCACACAGTGACCTATCCAGACACAAGAGCTGAAGCCTCAACTTCAGGTACCGGAGGCTGAGATCTTCAGTCTCTCCTAAACCTCAGTCTTCGGGCCACTATCCTGTTGCTTTGTAGGGGCACCCTTTGTACTGACTTGTTGCAGTTATAAAGCAATTAGCGAGACAGCTTACGTTTGTAAGCTCTGCCCCATATTTTATCTCCTCAAAATCCATTCCTTAAAAAAAAAGAAAAAAACTTATTGGAGAAAAGAAAGCCACCCTGGGGCTGGCTGCCCCCTTGCCTGATGGGCCAGCTGCCTGGTGTCCGGGGAGGTCCCTATGGGTCCCGCTATCCTGTGTGTGAGCAGATGGGCGGGGTGCCCATCCCCCGCGTAGCACCTGGGGAAGTCCAGGTGGGGAAGTGGGAGGGAGTTAAGGTCTCCTGAGGGCTGGACCATGCTCAGTGCCTGGAGGAGGGACGCTGAGCCGGGCTGGGGGCTGGGGGTGGTGAGACCCTCTTCTACCAGGGAAGCTGTTTCACAGAGGAGGTCTCAGGCTTGTTCTGAGGTTCCTGGGGCGGGAGTCACGGGGAGGCAGACTTCACTCACTGTGGGGAAGACAATCCTTATAAATCCCAGGAAGGAGGGGCTGTCAGGCAGAGTTAGGTCCAGCCGGCCAAGGCACAGAGCAGCCCTGCAGAGG